GGTGTTATTAGTAGGTGAATTGTTGGTTTAGTTTATATTCTTCAACAGAAGGAGCTATCAAGTTTGAATACCCCAGCGGGTTGGTATTTCTCCTCATGATGAGTTGGCAAGTGATCGACTGAACGCCTGCCATTTTGGAATTCATAGTGATCATGGAGTTTGTTAAACCTTGGAACAAAAAAGACATTCCATAGAAAACACATTTCCTAGCTCTATATAATACCAGTCCTAATCAGTCAACCTCCTGATAACATAATTTCCAGGTTTTGAAAAGACAAAAACAGATAACAAATATGAAACTTCCTCTGATCAACCACAATTCATGTTGGCTTGCCAGGTTGGTGTGCAACATATGGGGTTGGGAGAACATAGGACCCCATAAAACTTTCAAAAGTAAAAAAAATTAAAAGAATCAGATGAAGAAATACAATAAAAGTCCACTCAAATTTCCTTCTTCCTTGATTTAATCTTTTGCATTGATTCTCTTCCCACCCTTTTTGCTTTATGTGCAATGCAGGCAAAGTTGTCAAGCACATATAATTGGCCCAATCAATTTCTATTTTTATTCTGTCATGTGGGCTTTCTTCTTTTGCAAGATGTGAAGTTTCTGCTGCCTGTCACCTTGCCTATGAACAATATATCAAGTGTAATATGTCATCTTTTGTTTTACTTAAGAATCCTCAACTGCTGTACAATTTGACTGAGCTTTCTAATAATTCATGGTTGCTGCCTGGAATTTCTTTGACCCTTGATCCATTTTTGTATATCTTGAAGGCTGGGATTGTGCTCACATCCTCCATTTTGGCCAAGTATGGATGGTCTTCCACCTCCACCTGAAATTATATAAAAACATAGAAAAAATAAGTCAATGGTAAAATAATAAACTTAACAACAATTTTTGCTCCAGAATTTATTATTTAGAACAAACCTTGAGAAAATTGACAGATGGAAATCTTGTGCAGACTTGATGCAGGGCTTGCAACACTTGCTTTTGTTTGGTTTTGCTACAAAACAGCACCACAGACATCCCTGTTATTGAGACAAGGTGTTAGTTTTGTTGAGTTATAATATAGTTATCTAACCAAGAGATCCGAAACCAAGTTTAGTGCTTTGTGGCAAATGGACAAAGAAGAAGGAGTTACCTGGAGAGGTCACAAAATGTCTGAAGCGCTCATTGCTGGAGATGAGGACCAAATTTGATCCAAATTTCATGTCCTTAATATCTTCGCCGCGTTGTGTTTTGAGCTGGATCTTGGCTTCAAACAAAGCCTTGCCAACTTCCTCATCTCCAGGAGTTTCTCTTATCAGAACTTCATAATCTTGAATTGAAGCCCCCCACCTTTCTAACTGTTGCCACAAAACAAACAGAAAGTGTACTAATTAGTGATGGGTTTTCAACTTATTACTCATTAATTTTTGTGCAGAAAGTATGTTTGGCCTTCAATTTCCTTTTGTTAGAAAATCGTTTGGTGTGCAAAGAGAATTTTAGGGGTCCATGAAAACTTTTCTGATGGGCTTATCCAGAAATTACAGTAAAATTTATATGCAAAGCAATGGTGAGGAATTGGGATCGAAATTTTATGAAAGTGCACCCTTGGGGTTTTCAATCCAGGGTTTATTTGGATTTGGGTAATATTATGTTAAGTTTTCAGAGAAACAGATTAGTGGACTCACTACTAATTAGTCTAATACCGACAAATATTTCAACTTTACCATCTACATAGTGTGAAATTTTGCACAAAGACCTTGGTGTTATTAGTAGGTGAATTGTTGGTTTAGTTTATATTCTTCAACAGAAGGAGCTATCAAGTTTGAATACCCCAGCGGGTTGGTATTTCTCCTCATGATGAGTTGGCAAGTGATCGACTGAACGCCTGCCATTTTGGAATTCATAGTGATCATGGAGTTTGTTAAACCTTGGAACAAAAAGACATTCCATAGAAAACACATTTCCTAGCTCTATATAATACCAGTCCTAATCAGTCAACCTCCTGATAACATAATTTCCAGGTTTTGAAAAGACAAAAACAGATAACAAATATGAAACTTCCTCTGATCAACCACAATTCATGTTGGCTTGCCAGGTTGGTGTGCAACATATGGGGTTGGGAGAACATAGGACCCCATAAAACTTTCAAAAGTAAAAAAAATTAAAAGAATCAGATGAAGAAATACAATAAAACTCCACTCAAATTTCCTTCTTCCTTGATTTAATCTTTTGCATTGATTCTCTTCCCACCCTTTTTGCTTTATGTGCAATGCAGGCAAAGTTGTCAAGCACATATAATTGGCCCAATCAATTTCTATTTTTATTCTGTCATGTGGGCTTTCTTCTTTTGCAAGATGTGAAGTTTCTGCTGCCTGTCACCTTGCCTATGAACAATATATCAAGTGTAATATGTCATCTTTTGTTTTACTTAAGAATCCTCAACTGCTGTACAATTTGACTGAGCTTTCTAATAATTCATGGTTGCTGCCTGGAATTTCTTTGACCCTTGATCCATTTTTGTATATCTTGAAGGCTGGGATTGTGCTCACATCCTCCATTTTGGCCAAGTATGGATGGTCTTCCACCTCCACCTGAAATTATATAAAAACATAGAAAAAATAAGTCAATGGTAAAATAATAAACATAACAACAATTTTTGCTCCAGAATTTATTATTTAGAACAAACCTTGAGAAAATTGACAGATGGGAATCTTGTGCAGACTTGATGCAGGGCTTGCAACACTTGCTTTTGTTTGGTTTTGCTACAAAACAGCACCACAGACATCCCTGTTATTGAGACAAGGTGTTAGTTTTGTTGAGTTATAATATAGTTATCTAACCAAGAGATCCGAAACCAAGTTTAGTGCTTTGTGGCAAATGGACAAAGAAGAAGGAGTTACCTGGAGAGGTCACAAAATGTCTGAAGCGCTCATTGCTGGAGATGAGGACCAAATTTGATCCAAATTTCATGTCTTTAATATCTTCGCCGCGTTGTGTTTTGAGCTGGATCTTGGCTTCAAACAAAGCCTTGCCAACTTCCTCATCTCCAGGAGTTTCTCTTATCAGAACTTCATAATCTTGAATTGAAGCCCCCCACCTTTCTAACTGTTGCCACAAAACAAACAGAAAGTGTACTAATTAGTGATGGGTTTTCAACTTATTACTCATTAATTTTTGTGCAGAAAGTATGTTTGGCCTTCAAGTGAGAAAAATTCACCTTGGCGTTGCAATCAGCCCGGCGCAGCCTAGCCTTGCTGTAAGAAGGCAGCACATTAAGTGCTGCATTGCAATCATCAATGGCCTTTTCAAATTGTCCAAGTTTAGTACGACAAGCTGCTCGGTTGCATAGTAAAACCGAGTTGTGTGAATCATGCTGCAGTCCTTGACTATACACTACACATGCTTCCGAAAATTTCGATGCCTTAAAGAGAAGGTTACCACTCACTCGGGCTGATGCAACAGCGCGAGCCCTCTTCACCACCGCAGCGACATTCTTGTCACTTGGATTGAGTCGTGCTGCATTCTGAACTGCAGCTATAGCATCTTCAAACCTGTCAACCCCATAACTCTAAGATGTTACCATCTTGACACGTCTTAATCTGAACCTAAGATAAATTAGTACTTAATTACTAATGATCAGTGACCACATGTTGCACGCGGAGTCTTTTTAAACGGCTGCAAATTAATTATAGGGACCAACCTAACTTGTGATTTAATGTAAGGCTTATATTTAAAAGTCCTATATCATATTAATTAGCACTAATAAACTAACCTGCCAACAGCCAAGTAAACCTGAGCCCCAATCATTAACAGATAAGCACTACTTGCCAATCCAAAGAACTTGGTGCATATATCAATGCTGAAACTGGGTCGTTTTTGGTAGGTGGCATAGGCCTCTTGATGTCTGTGAAGCTTCAGCAAGGCTTAGGGACCAACCTAACTTGTGATTTAATATAAGGCTTATATTTAAAAGTCCTATATCATATTAATTAGCACTAATAAACTAACCTGCCAGCAGCCAAGTAAACCTGAGCCCCAATCATTAACAGATAAGCACTACTTGCTAAGCCAAAGAACTTGGTGCATATATCAATGCTGAAACTGGGTCGTTTTTGGTAGGTGGCATAGGCCTCTTGATGTCTGTGAAGCTTCAGCAAGGCCTCAGCTTGTAGAGCAAAGACCTTGGCATAAGTAAACAAACATAAACAAACATTAGATTGTTTTGATCAACAGATTATACTAATTAAACTTTGGCAAAACAAGGGGTTGACCAAGAAAATCTAACCTGTGGAGCTGAATTGGCACCTGAGGAAATTGCCAGTTGGGTCTCGTTCAGCAAAATATTCCACTCTTGTAATTTCTGAGCTTCAGTGCATCTGCTGAGGCATTTTTGAAGGGCCTGACATTGGTCAACCTCTTTTGAGTTAGCGTATGGACCCGAGTGTTTGTAGTGATCCAATGCTTTCTCTGCTTCTCCCAATCTAAATGACACAATTAATGTTCATGTTAGCAAATATTTCAAAAGAATTAAAACAAACACAAACACATGAAAGTTTGTGTTCTGCAGGAAAATATATAGAACAGAATCTTGCTCTGTTTGAAATTACCTGAGATAAGTTGTTGCCAACCGATGATGAGCTTTGTGATAAGAAGGCTCAATCTGGATTGCTTCTTTGCATTGGAAAACCGCCTCGATAAGACGGCCTAAACCAATCAAAGCTGCTCCTTTATTGCTGTGATAAGCAGCCTTATTTGAATCCAAAGCAATTGCTCGGTCATAAAAAGCCAAGGCCTCTTCAAATCTGCCCTGTTTGTATGCCTCATTTCCCATGGACTTTAACACCTCAGGGTCTAACTTGTTCCGGGAAAGACCTCCAAACTCATCACTGTTCTTCCTCACAATGTTACCCATCACAACATTGCCTCCTAGTTTTCCAAATCCATTTTTTCGGGTAAATGTCGAATTCGAGTCTTCAAGATTTCTAAGATGATAAGTCAGAGTCTTGATTGTGGCTGTGGGACTGTTGCTTGCCGGCTGCCTCAAGTTCCCCAACTGTCCTGAAAGCACCATATTACTTGAAGTGGCTCGGACCAGAGCTTTGCTTTCATTGGCTTGCTGGTGATCAGTGATCTTCCTACTGAGCTCTG